AGTATCTGGACTTGTGTTGCTTCAAATATTAGTGGGATGATGTCTAAATGTAGGTGAAATTTTAGAGAATTTTTTGTGATTTTGTTTTGTGGCTGGCCCTGCTACTTGCTGTAGTTTGTTTCAGACTTTGTTAAAAATATTCTTTTTTTGTATAAACGTGCCTATGGAAAGTGAAACTGAGAATCACTGAAAAAAAAAATGGCTTATTTCCATTCTTTCATAAATCTGGCAAAACAGCCTAGAGCTTTACTTTCCCATTGAGGAGGGCTGAAGTTCTGTCCTGAAGAAAGCCTTGAGTTAAAATGCAGACAAGTGTCTGCTGTGATCTTTACTTTATCTCATAGCTGGGATGAGAGAGCTGGGCACAGCTGTGACACAGGAGGTGCTGCTGGACATGAAAGGCAAGTTCTGCTCTAAATCACAACTCTGACACCTGCAGGGCACTTGTTACCGCTCTGCCTGGACTTGTCCATCTCCTGCACCAGAAAAGTAATATTGCTGGTTCTAAGCTAAGCTCATTGAAAGGCAAAAGCTTCTTTTACCTGATATTTATGCTTTATTAACCTCTTTTAAACTCATCTCTAACAGAGACAAAGGATAACAGGCAGGATATAGATCAGGTTCTTTTTCAGCTCCATCTCTGTTTTTCTTTCATTTTAGAATATAAATTCTGTGGAAAATAACACCATTCCATCAAAAAGACAAAGACTCTCAGGAAAAGTAGTATCTCTTCTTGAGCTGGGTAATACTATGGAAAAAGTTAAACTGTGTTTTAAACTGTTTGTTAAACTGTAAGTTTTTCACAGATCTGAAATAGAAACTAAAACTTCAAAGCTAAATATAAATTGAGCTCCATTACTTGCGTTTTACAAATAATCTGGGCATTTCTGAAAGGAAAAATCTGTGTGGTACCTGTAAAGCAGAGGAATTGTTGCTCATTGATTTGGGAAAATGATATAAGTGATTGGAACGTGGAAAGAATTTCATCCTTCCCCACTGCTGCCTTGCCCACCTCCCACATAAGCTGGTGCCTAAACACTGTCTGCAGCAAAAGCCAGGAAACAGCTCTGCCTTTGGGGGAGTGCCTTGTGCACCTTGACATAACCTTTGGGGGGGCAAAGAAGGTGAGACAAAACTTTCTAAAGCTGGTGTAAGAAAACAAGGCTGTAAAATTGTGGCCAGCAATATTGAGCTTTTCAGTCAAAGTGCTTTTAAATCAAAGGACTGGTGTTTCATGGGACTCCTTTTTTACAGCTTGATATAACCTGCTGTTTGTCAGCTTGTTTCACTCAGACTCTTGTGTAGCACTTAATGGGTCTGAGGTGTTGCAGGAAAACAGCAATTGTTCAGCAATCTTTGTATTTCATTTTTCAACTTCCCATCTTCACACAAGTCCCACTGTTCCATTTTTCTGAATTCTAGGAGTTGGAATGTTATGCAAGACTTGGATGTTATGTCATCCTCTGGTTAACAAGTGTGTGATTTGCATGGCACTACTACTCTTTTCTATGAATTATCCTCAGCTTCCTAAACTGGTCCAAAAGTTAAATTAGAGGGGGATTTCCTCTGTTCCTAAAATGAATATACAAATTTTCATTTTCTTAACCTCTGTACTCATGTGGGAGACTTATTGCCTGTTAGCTCATATGTCAACAGAGGTTTGGGAAGGAAAGCCCCTAACAGCTCTCCTCCAATCTTCTCTTCTTTACATTATCATTGGAATAAATGTTGCATTTTGGCCTTTATAATCCTTTGTTCTCTAACATAACATTTGATTTCAATTAGTAGCAGACCCCATTGCCTGGAATTTTTAACATGTTGACCCTTTAAAATACAAGGCACAATGAAATCAGATTATTTGGGAAAAGTGATGAATCAAAATGACCTCCATTGCCTTTAGAAATCTAAAATGCCCCATCTAACTCTTATGATTAATATGTGATTTAAATGAACATCTGCTCCTTCTTTGTCCTTTTACAGTGATGGTCACTGTTTCTTTCACTGCTTTTCCAGCATTTTTAATTCATATATCACTTGAACTCTAAAAGAGCACTCAAAAAAAGCATTGTGAGTCTTGGAAGTGAACCATATTGTCATGCCTTGTATGCAGGATGCAGAGCTGAACCAAATGCATCCTGAGTGGAGACCTGGCCGTGTCAGGTGTGCCCACAATCACTGCAGAGGTGTCACAAAGGGCACACGGGGTGCCAAGTGTGGCTGTGCAGCTGGACCGTATCGGCTGCTGGGGGAAGGAGGTGTTATTTAAGGATTTAAAGAACAATATTTGTCTTAACCAGTGTCCAAACCACAAAGGATTGAGCTCTCTGAATGGCATGGAAATACATTTGAAGTCTGTCCTGCCTCGCCCCCGCCCAGCACATGCCCTTTGTGCGTGGCAGCCTCGCAGGTGGCCCTGGGGACTCCTGTCCTGCAGGTCCTTGCAAGCTCTGCCTTGCTCCTGCTGAGAGCTGCCACTGCCCTTACAGCCCTAACACAGAAATCATCACAAAATTTGTTCTTCCTCTGGCATGACACTGCAAATACCTGTTTTGGCAGCATTGGTTTCCATGAGACCCCAAAGGGAATGTAGTAGCAGTAAATGAGGTTAAAATAAAGTATGAAACAACAGAGGAAGTGCTGAGCAGTACAGAGCTTATTCACCCTTCACCTCAGACAGGACTGCTGGGATGCTGTGACAAAAAAAGGGAAGCTCTGGGAAAGGAGTTGCTGCTGTAAACAAGCTTGGTAAAGGTCTGGTTTCATTTTGTGTCCCTCAGTTGCACTATGCAGCAAAACACTTGCTGTCCCTGATGTGTAGTTTTCCTTGCCTCTGCGTCCTCTCCATGTAGAAATTTCCATCTTTCAAAAACTGGCTTCTTTATTCACAGTATATTTTCCACGGTGGGACCATGTTTTTAATGCAGCAGAATACAGCTGTTATTAAAAATGTTTTGGTTCAGATTAGAAAGAAATCCCAGGATCCTAAATCCAGCGTAGTCAATAGGGAGACATTGATACAAGGATTTGTGTCAAAACTAAAACAATTAAGAAAACATACCAGAGTAAGGTGAGGGCCTTTCAGACTGGTGTAGCAAACAAAGGCAAGCAACTGAGTTTTTCATTTTTGAAAGAGTGGCAATCTTCATCTTGTTAAGGTAGAAAAGTGTTTCACTTCTGTGCACCTGAGATGTACCATCTTTTACATTCTAGTTTTAAGCTCTGCAGCCAGACTTGGCACTGCCAAGACTTTCCCTTGGTTGTTTCCTGACTTCTTGACCATTGTAACATAAAACATTTTTGCATTTCTTATGTGTTTTTCCACAGAGAAATGCTATTGAAAGAAAAGTTTAAAGATGGAAAAGTTCTTATGACTATAAATTATTAAAGGTTGGTATTTCCATGAAGATTAAGTAGGCCTACTCAGTCTCCTTCCCCAGGACATGCCCTTCTCTAGTTGCTATAATCAAGCAGTCTGCCAATCACTGAACTTGGAGTGATAGATTTGTCTATTTTGCATTCCCCTTAAGCCTTCTGCCCAGTTTCTTCTCTGACTCTAACCCCAAAATTATATTGACTCAGAGGTAGTTTTTCAACAGCTTTATTCACAAAGTCTGCCAGCTTGGCCTTCTGAAAGGTCCTATTTAGATTTTCTGTTAATTTAACAAATGGAAGGGGCAAAACAAAGTGTTGCAATAAACTGAAAATTTAATTTGGTGTGTTTATAACCTCATTCTTGGTTCTCAGGCAGGTTTCTCAACTTCTGCTTTCCATTTATATCTGCCAGGCAATAATATCAAATTTTTGTAATCTTGGTAGTGCAGTGAGGCCATAAAACATGAAAAAGGAGAACTATCTTAGTGCAGGCTATTCCTGCTCATGGATCCACACCATGTTCACCTACTTTTCAAAGTCCTGGCTCTAGATTTTGGCATTTTCTGCAGCAAATGCAGAAATATCCATTTCCAAGCCATTCAAAAGACAACCCCATGGAGGGGTAAGAGGAATGAAGATGAGTTTGTAACAAACAGCACGTGGTAGTGTTTGATGAAGTCTGGTCTGCCTTCTTTCATCACAGCTGCAGTGCTGACTGTTGTTAATTTTTCCCTGTTGCAGGAAGGTTTCATGGTACAGCAGTTGCTCCTTGTTTGCGCTCCTCGGGATCAAAGATGGATGCAAGCAGGGACATCAGTGGTCTTGTGCTAAGGGCAGAGTATTTGAGAGCCATTTATTAGATATTCTTCATTGAAAAATATGCTGTTTGATGCCAAGTGAAACTTTCCATGGTTACAGAGTGTGGACACCTATTTAACAGGATAGAGTCTGAAAATTTTGCTGGTTGTTCTTTTCATCCTGGTATCTCAGTATTATGCTGGAGTAAATAATTTGGATCACCAGCTTGGGTGGCATTTACACCAGTGATCTATAAACACTGAAGAGATGATATTTGGGTTTGAAATAATTTGATAGAGATGATGAATAAGTAACATATAGTATTATTCTGTACTTGTGGAATATCCAGGAGGAATGTTTGAACTGATTCTAGTGTCTGCTGCAGTAACTGGACAGAAATAGAACGGAATTTACAATGATGTGGAGGAAGAGATAAACTTTATGAACAAATGTGGCTTTTGGATTCTCCCATCATATTCACTGTAGTCTTCTAATTTCCCTGATAGCTGCTGGATTTGTGCATCATTTATATCCTGATAAGATACCAGGGTTGCCACTTATTCAATACTTGGCATTTTTGGTCCAGGTGGTCAGACTGCAGTATCGCACTCCTCTCCCTGGAGTAAAGATAGGTGAGTCTCACTGCAAGCTGTCTCTGGATCTCTAAGTAACCCAGGGTTATAACTGAATGCAGGCCTTGGTAAGAAAGCCATCTCTCCAGCCTCAAGATCTGTGTCTTGCCAACAGAAAACCACAGTGCAGGACTTGTGGATTTGACTGACAAAAGCTGAGGCTGTGTCATAGCTAACTGCTGTGCAATTTGATTTCAGACAAAGAGACAAACCATGGATTCAGTATTTGTGCCTGAAAATGGCTACCTTGATTTACTGCACAGTGATATTGACCCAGTGCATCTGTGTACTTTCTTTGATCCAAAGTCATCTGGAGATGAAGAAGGTGACTTCTCTACAGGTTAGTAAAACCACTAAAAAAATACTTGACTGGTTTAGTCTTCACACTGTAAGTTATTGCCATCTCCTCTCAGCTCCAAAGCCACCTAATGGCAGTTTATAATGGGGGCTGATAAAGTCTACAGGCACTTTGGTGGTAGGATGTGGTTAAGTTTGTCTGTATCTGTACACACAGTGACTGCTTCCAGAACTGTCATGTTTTTAAATTGTACATATTTCTAGCATCCTGCTCAGTCAGTCTAACAAAACACACTGTACTGTCACTCACCAGGGCATGACAGTGTCTTTCATTTGGACATCATTCCTGGAAGTAGTTTATTTGCAAATGTTCCTGTCATAAGCTGGCCAAGTGTAATTGTCAACACACCTCTGTGGCTTGAAGCCAAAAGTTTTGCTAAACAGAGACTTTTAGATGAGTTTGTGATGAACACAGTCCCTGAGCAAACAGCTTTACGTTCTGAGATCCTAAGGCACCAAAACAATGGGCTTTCATTACCAGGTGCCTTTTTCCAGCTTTTTGGGACACAATGATTTTATAATTCCATTACAAATGAAAAAGCAGAAGGGCAAGAGTATAAAGTTGATAATTTCTTGGAATTCAGTTCCTACAAGTAATCAGATCAGGAGGTTGCCCTGGATCTCAAACTTTGTGTTCCTGACTTTTTGTGGAATTTGTGGACTGATCTGCTCTCCCTTCTCTGAGTGTTCTGTTATAAAAGTATGGAAGTCTGTCTGTGGTATGGAGCATTAGCTGAGCTTATGTTAAACAAATGAGCTGGACCATGGATTGAGAATGGCACTGAGAGGAGAAGAGCTAGTGTATGCCAGGCATGAAATCTCAGCTCTGTGCCAAATAGGTGGAAAATATTACCAGTTTGGAGCATTGTGGCTTTCATGAGTGACCAATGCCAGTAGGCACATGGGCAAATCAGTGGAGAACTGAGCACCAGAATTATCTTTATGATTGATCATTTCCCAGGCTGGGCTTTTCCCTCTCAGTTTCTGACTGTTAAAAACAGCTGCAGGAGTGTGCCTTACTCCATGGCCTCACATGCTCAGTGACTGAAAGTAGCATGAATTAAAGGTCAAGCACTGACTCATGCTATCACTGATTGGAATGCTTTTGAGCCTTAGCAATGTCTGAGATGATGCAGGTAAATCAACATCATCAGGACATGGCAGCAGTCCCTGGAAGCTGGGCATCTCTGCTGTGAAGGTTTTGGCATGGTCCCTGGCCAACTGGCAACTTCACAGGCAAATTGCAGGGGTTAGCATGGACACAGCATTGTTCTGAACAGGGCATCTGATACCACCATAGCCTAAAGGATAAGAAGGTTTAATAAGCTGTATGAATCTGGGCTTGATCATCACAGAATGCACTTAGGAAGTGTTTTATTTACTAAGAGAGATGAGGTCTCAGAGTTCAGCAAAAGAAAAGTTCTGATTTCCAGGTGAGTGTGAATTACTGAGAGTTCAGTTCTGTTCCTTCTAGCCAACACACAATGAAAAGCCAAAGCCTTCTGCTGAAGTAACAAATCTGCCTGTTCTGCATGTCCTGCTATCTGCTTTTTTGTGCTTGGTTATGGCATTCATTGAGCCAATGCATGTTCCTTATTAACTCTAGATCTTGAAGTTGATGCCAGCAACTATGAACAGTTCAATAATATGGATTTCCCATATGAAAATGGAGATGGGTTCTACCCCTGTTGCAACACCACGGATGCTTATGCTAAAATGGGTATGAAAGGAATTATTGTTTTTTAAATCACTATTTTACAATCAGTTGCTATAGCTATTTCTTATAAACTCTGTTCTCAATCTGGAGCCATGGTATTTACTCAAGCAGCCTTTCCCTCATGTGTGATAGATTTGATTTAGAGCATCTGAACCTGTGCATTGTGGGGAAACTGATTAACAGTAGCTTGTGGTTGTTGGGGGAAAATCTCTCTATTAATGTCTCCTTCTGCTTAATACTTCCTTTCTCTACTTCTCTTTTCTTGTGATCTTTATTTCCTGAACAACAAGTTACAAGAAAAACTTAATTTAACTCCTCCATTTTACTTACACTGCAGAGTTCTGTTAATGAGGATAAGCTTACTAGTTTTGCTGTGACATTTACTGTGTCATTACTGTGTTCCTCTTTTGTTTTTTTCTTTTGTTGCTAGCTGAATTAGTAGAATATGTGCTCAAGGATCAGCAGGAGAAGCAGGTTGAAGACATTTTTGGTAAGATTGATATGGCTAAGAGTAACTTGCTCCATGACGTTGTTTTGTCTAACATGTGCTTCATCCCCCCAGTTTGAACACTAGGAAAGTTTCTCTACCTCTGGTATCTTCTCCCTTACCCCTGGGTACAGTGTCCCAGGATTTTCTTGGAAAACCTGAGGATTTTATGCATTTTTGCAGGCCTTTCTCAAAGATGCAGTTTTGTCTCTGACTAAGCTGCGGATCAGCCTCACTGTCCAGTGCATTCATAGCTTCAACAGCATCACACCTACCCTGAGCACAGCAGGATGATACACATAAGTCTCCAGAGCACTTTGCATGTGTACAAAGACAGTTTGCACACACTGATTTCTGTCCAGGATGCACAGAGCTGCCTGAGGAAGTGTCAAGTTTTACTTCTCACCCTGAGTAATGCAGCAGTGCTATTACATATACAGTGAATCATTTCTTCATCCATTCTTGACTGGACACATTGCTTGGCTTGTGGTACCAAATCATTGTTTTGGTAGCAGCACAACTGCAGCTATTTACTATTCCAGAACAGATATATCAATAGTTGCCTCTTGAGAAATCCATAGAACCAGAAAGTTCACAGAATATCTGTATATCCTATTTTATGTTTGAGCAAAATAATTTGGACTAATTTACCAAAGGTCAGTATTTCCCTAGAATAGTCCTGGCTGCAGGAAGCTCATATAGCTTTTCAAATGATATATACTGCTTCCTCATGTGTTTAGAATTTGCAACCAATGGCAATATTTTTATTGGTTTTACCAAAAAACAGAATGCAATATTAGTTCTTAAGTATTTTCCAGTAAAAGTATGGTGTGGATGACTTCACAGTTCTTGCAGCACAGAATATAAAATCTTTTTAGAACCCTTCATTCTGTCTCTTAAAGGATCTAATCCCTTTAGTGCATAAATTGAGTAGTACTGAGATCACACTGTGACACTGCTGCAATGTTTTATCCTTTGCTCATCATTAGAGCATTGAGAAGTACTTATGGTTTATTAGCCCCTGCCAGTAGATTAACAGTTTGCAGTTCAGAAATTAACACAGGGTGAAAAAGTCTGCACTCAGAGCTCTGTGGGCTTTCTAAGTCATGTGGCTCTGGGTACATCTTTTATCACATTATTTGGTTTTTATCTTTTATTTGGAGCATATTTCATCTTTGCTCTCTATTGGTGTGTTTCTCTTGCTTTTACTCCTCTCTGTAATTTTTTTAGGAGGACAAAGTTTGACATTGCACCATATTTCATGTTTTTAGCAGGGAACCTTATTTTGGATGACATTGCTGCCGAAAACACTGAGAAATTTCCTGACATAAAGATGCAGTCATGTCTCAAACGAAGTAAGTGTGAGCAGTGAGAACATGAAAAGCTTTGTGCCTGAGTCCTAAACGTGCATTCCACCCCTTGGCTTTAGCACAGCCCCAGTGCATTTGTCATGCAGCTCTTCAGTGACACCAGCCGAGCTTCCTCTGCCTCGGTCTTGTGGGCAGGAACTGAAAGCTCTTCCAAGCGTAGAATTTACAGTTCGCAGAATTTGTTTTCCTGTAACAAAACATTAAATTAATGTTATATTTCTTTGCATTTTTGTTATCCTCATGGCAGTGTTGACTTTGTTTTCAGTGTATCTATAGCTCAGTAAGCATTGGCTGAACAATTGCCTTTTTAATTGCAAGAACAACAGCAAACATCTGTGGCACAAAAATCTGCAGCCTAATTAAAACTTCACAGAGCAAAATAACATGAGGCTTTTCACCTTCATTTTTATACATTGGGCCTGTACAGTCCTGAAATAGCTGAATTGAAACTGGCAACACCCCCTTCTACTTAAAATAAGTTTCATGGGTTAAATTTGAAGTTACCAAAATTTAGCCACTTAGTATGACTTTGCTTTCTTTCAGCTTTCTTAGGCTCTGCAGCAGAGAGTTACTATGACGCTTCAGAACCCAAATATAAGAAAATTGGTAAGTCATTGGCTGAATAAGAAAAGGTTATTGAACATATATTGTCCCATGTTCCAAAATCCCATCCTCTGTTAGGTACTGTAACTCTACCTTCCAGAAAAGTTTGCTGTCATAGATTTGATGATTTTGATCATCATGCACTTTCATGTTTCTGCAAAAATCACACTTTTAGATTCCTCTGACTAATTTATGATATAAAAAATCCACATCCTCTTATCTGCAGCTATTACATTGTGTAACTTAGGATCAGCTACGTGGTAGCCTAAGAACACTTGGATCCTTATGCTTCAAAAGTACATGTTCCTACCAGGTGATAGGAAAATTACTTGCTTAACATCAGCAGAGGAACGGTTGACCTTTCCTAAATCCACATGAGAGAAGAAAGAAAAATAATGGAGACCTGGATCAGTGCCAAATTCTGTAAATTTTATCACGTACATCTTTTTTTTCCACTGGAATTTTGGAAGATGTCTCACTTGTAACAAGAAGGCTCAAACTCAGGAAATGCAGAGCTATGACCTGAGTCATATTATCCATCAGGTCACAGCTCCACATGCCATGGGTTTGATCATCTTTCTTCCAAGTGTGACATCTTCTAAAAGTCCAGTGAAACATCCTAGTGAAAATAATAACTGTGAAGAGATGATTTCTTGGTCTAATCCATGCTGTAAAGTCTTTTAAACCAAAGAAAGAAAGGGAGGAAGGGAAATTTCTAGGTTTTGCACATTGTTAGACCATCTACAAGACAACACCTGGGGCCAGCAGGCAGGCTGGAACTTGTCTCCCTGGTGTGAACCGGTGCTAATGTTCTCAGCCAACTGTAGCCTAAAGGGGTATCTCAGGCAGAGTTAACCAGCAAAATACTCTTCCAAAATCCAGGTGAGAACAGCCTGTTTTAGCAGCAATAGTTTGAACTATTTTCTATTGTGTTTTGGGTGGACATCTGACTGGTTTTATATCAGCACACCTCCCAAGGCTCCTAAGGGGACTCTGGCTGTACCAAAGCCCAGGGGCCATGCACATATTGGGGGGTGGCCAAAGCAGTGTGTGACCTAGAGTTCATCCAGAGTGCTGGGATCTGGGGCTGCACCTCAGCACAGGGCAGCTAAGGAGCTGGCACAGACTGCCTGGAAATCTGAGAGAATACACATGTGCACCATGACTGCCATCCATGCTGGTTTCCCAGTGTTCTTATGGAGTTCTGAGGGAGTGGGGAGGGAGAACTGAGCAGAAAAATCATGCTTGCTAGCTCTGGGAATGATATCAGAGTTTCTACTGAAGTGGTGCCTGCTGACTGTAGTTGTTTGGACACAGGTGAAGTTCCTGGCAGTTAGTAGCTGTTAAAGGTGGATTCATTTCTATTTGCTTAAGTTCCTTTGTAGATTTGGCACTTTTAAAAGCCTATATTTACACCACACTACTAATAATAGTTTTCCATAAGAAAATGGCACACCAGTTCCAAATGCCTCACCCTACAGAACCTGCATTCCAGATGAAAGGATCATCCCAGAGCTAACAGGTGCTTTGTGAAGCTGCACCCATCCTTATTGGTGGAAGTCCTTAGAATATTATCAGTTTTTCTACTGTCCTTGACCCAGTGAAGGTGCTGAGGAAGGAAAATTTACATAAGACAGTATAAGTACTGTGTAGAAAAATCTAATTGAGAAAAATATGAGCTACTTGACAAAATCAGGAGTTTCTTTAACCTGTCACAGGTGTCACAGTAGGATCCTGCAAAGGCAAATGCATCAGCTCTTCAGAAGTGCAAGACTACCTACAGCAAAGACAATAATGAGTACTAAAGTTCAAAGTAAGCCAAGGATGAGATTCTTTCAAAGGAATTAAATGAAATAGTGGCACAAACCCTAGACAAGTTTGTAGCTCCTAATAAAAACATCAGACCACAGAAAGTGATGAAGTACAGACTGACTTGTTGCAGCTAGACAGGAGAGGGAAGGAAAAAGCAAAACCAACTCTGAGAATAGGGGTGTTGTAAAACCAATGAAACTAACACACTAATTCAAATAAGCAGGTGTCTTACTTGATCTGTAGGAGTCTTTTGATAAGATGAAATTGTACAATGCACAAACATCTCACCCCATTTGTTCTATTCTTGGAGGAAAAAAATACGCTGCAGAGGAGATGCATCTTTAAAAGGTCTGGTGTTTGTGACTGTTCTCTGGGAGAATTTAACACACACTCTTTGTCCTTACAAGCACTGTAGTGTCTAAGTAGGGAGTCAAGGTCCCCAGTTTATTGCTTGTGGGCCTCTCTGCTTTTGTGCAATACTGAGACAGCAAACTGTGCTTGGAAAATCAGTACAGCCAATGTACTGATTGTTATGTCTTATCTGTCAGTCATCCATGTGTAGGGTCATGTACATCTAGATACATCTGAAAATAAGTGAGGAAAGCTGAAGAAAAAGAAAATTTAAAGAGAAACTACAAAGAAGAAAAAGTGATCTACTACAGAATTTAATAAATACATTTTAGATTTTGAGAGCTAAATTGTTTTCCGACAGCTATTAAGGATTGTTCTTGCTTTTGGAAAATCAAAACACAGCTGATCAAAATCAAGTGCTTTATCTTATCTACTGAGACCTCTTCTTTGGTTCCTTTAAATTCTATCAATGAGATAACTTTCTCCTTTTGTTTTGCTATTTTATTTTAAAGTGGAAGTCCCCGCAGCCTCTGCAGGGAGTGGCAGTTTCTTTGCTATGCCTCTCAACAGCCACCCAGTGAGCTGCACCTCCCTAACCAACCAGCACATGTCCTGTTCTGTTCCTGCTGCCCACGGGCTGGAAAGGAGCCTCATCATTCCTGGTAGGTAAAGCACAGCTGTAGCTGTGCAGCTGTACACAGGCTGATTTACACATGGGGAAAACTCTCTTGTAAATCTTGTCTTTGACCATGAGCAATGGCAGGAAAATGGCAAGTAAGGCAGCTCTTAAAGGTGTGGCACTCACTAAAAGAATGGAAAATATTCAAGGGAAATTAAAAGGGCATTGCTCCTAATTGAGTAGAATGAATCTTTTATTTAATTGGTGCAGGTTATAACAGAACAGTTATTTACTATATGCTAATCTAAGTAATTACTAACTTGTCTTAAGAATAGGAAGTCACAAAATTTTTCATTATTAAACTTTAATTTAGTTCTAATTTCTTTTTCACCCAGAGATTTGTAAAGGACTGAGGGATAATTACATTTGCAGCAGTAGAGCAAAATCTAGGCTGTGATTTAGCTCATTAAAAGTGAGCAGTGATCCCACTGATAGGTTGTGTAGGCACCTGGCCTGGGCCATGCTGGGTAGCAGAGGGTGCTCATGGCACACTGAGAAATCACAAAGGCCCAGTTCAACACCTTTCACTGTCAAGTCTGTGCTGGAAAGGAACCAAAGCCAGTGTGTAAATTGGGAGCCTTGAAATACCTCATGTCAGCTGAAGCAGTATAAAGTAGCAGAAGAAATTGTGTCCCACCTACAGAAACTCAGAGCTATGGCTGATTAAATTGCAAGCACTGAATCATCAAAAAACTTTCCCAGTGTGAGTTGAGAGGGAGGGTGCTTGTACAACCTGAATGATGTGCAGTTATTTGGGAAGGATGTAGTGCAAGAAAGGTAAATTTAACGCAGATACATACTATTTACACATTTTCTCTTCTCTGGATCTTTGCCTGTACATTTACAGACTTTGCCTTAAGCACTTTTCCTTATGATAACAGAATTTCTCTTTAGGCTATTGAAAACAGTGGCTGCTAAAAGCTGGGTAATCCCTTGTATTTCAAGCTCATTATACCTTGTAACAGTTCTTTTTTTAATGGGTTCTATGGACCTCATGTGATCCTGTGAATTCTCCACTGGGAAGATTTGCCTATAAGCTGCCAGAAAGTACTGTTAGAAAACTTTCTCATAAAGCTTTAGAAGGCAGAACCCTTTAAAAACAGAAGAGTAATTATTCTGCATTCATTTCAGGATTGTCAGAACCTTTGACCTCAGAGTGCCTACCAGCCAGTGTAAAAGGGTACCAAGAGAATCCAGGCTTGGTAGGTGCGCCTCAGCAGATATTTAATTTTGTTCTTGAAAATGGCACATCTGAAGTTATAGTATATCCAGGTAAGAGTGATAGCTTTTTATCCCCATAAAGAGGCATAAAGTGCTAAAAAAATCAATGCTGCCAACAGCAGCATTGATTAAATTCAGTTACTGATAGCTATGATATGCTGGAACTATGCTTTGTTTCTTGCCAGTGCTGACATCTTCCATGGAAACATTCATGTCTCCAGTTTTTCCAGTTAATTTATGTGGTAAGTACAAAATTGGGGTTTATTGGGGTAGTAGTAGAAAATTGGGGTACAGCACTTTGAACTGGGAGAGAAACCATATTGCTTCTACTCAAAACCTGTTCTCCCCTTCAGACTTTACTCCTATTGACCTTAAAAAACCAAAACTGAATGGTATTTCCTTCTTTGTATTGGTCACTGGCTGCTTACTCTGATCCAAAATGTACAGATAGGAGTTGTGGAGCTTCAGGTTCAGCAGCCAATCCCTGTGTTTGCTATGACATCCGGTTTCAGAAAGAAACCAGGTTTAGTTAAAACAATGCAAAGCCCAGGGTGCTGGAGCACCCTCAGGAAGGGGGAATGATCTGATGCTGGCATGGCCTGAGCATCTGAAGCGCTCAGTGCTGGCAGCCACACTGCAGCCAGCTCCCACGGAAGCCCCCAAACCAACTTATTTAACTAAGCAATACTGAAAGCTAATGCTCAGAATGGTTTATAATGAAATCAGAGCCTTGGTCAGGATTTAACAGTCCCACTTCAGGTAACAAACTTTCCTTCCAGCCCTCAGAGGGCTGTTGGAACCCAGAGTTTGGTATCAGTGTTGTTGCTGGTCCCTGTGCCCAGTGCAGGAGTTTGTTGCCCTCTGGTGGCTTCCACTGCCCCAAAAGCAAAAGTATAATATGGAGATTAAGAGGCAAATATCCCTAGGTGTGGGGGAGTCTTTGTAAATTGTATTTACTTTTTATGTAAATAAACAACTCCAGTAATTCCAACTGATTTACTGCAGCACAACATACGTATACCACCAGCCCTGGAATTCCCGATGCAGCAGTAGCAGGTAAATGTAAGATGCCAAACCAGTTTTTCTTTTACTTTTTTAAAAGTTCTTCACTCCTACCTGCTTTGAATAGTTTCCCATCTAAATGTCTCATTACAGATTATTTTTTTCTGTTCTTCCATTCTGTTTTCTTAGTTAATAAAATAAAAAGTAAATAAAAACAGACATTTGCTTGCCCAACCTTTCTTTATTTAATATCTTTCTTACTGGAGGCCTGTGGTGCTTCCCTTTTAGAAGCAATTGTGAACTCTAACTATTCTGAAGGTTGCTGGCATGCAGGGTAGGAATTAATTTCCAGATCTCTGAAATGGTAAAATTTGTATTTCTTTTAGATCATATCAAGATGATCAAGATGATATTCTGGTATGAAACACATTTGTGCATATTTAGGGAGATTAATCTGTTTTGGTTTAGGTAATTTTTTGCACATCTCTGCTGTGTGTGGGTCTGAGACTCTGAGGTTGACTTGTTACAGCCTCTGGCAATTTAAATTCTGTCTTGCACCTGCAAAGCTTTTCCTACCAAAAGTTTTATCAAAACTGATACTCTGCAATTACCAATCTATAGAAAATGTGTTCTCTCTGAAAAATTCCCAATTCCTTTGTGTGAAGGAGACACTGTTCACCTGACTCAACTGCAAAAGTCTGCAGTAGTTTGAAAGCAAACAGGTGAAAAGAAAGAAAGAAAACTGGACAGCAATGAGACTTTGTCAGGGAGAGTAATGGGTAAACACTGTTACCAGGAGTCACTTCTCTGTGACATTCATCTTTAGTGCTGGGCTACAAGGTGTAGAATAACAAAAGGAAGCTATTGCTTTTGAAGACATAAAGAAGCACTATGTGTGAACACGAATTTATGCAAAACACTGACATTTGAAAAGAACAGTGAATGTCACCTGGAATGGTAAATCTGCTTCCCACAACTGTCAGAACAGCTGTGGTCTTGTTTGATGCCATTCTGCCTCTATCAGTGCACATCAGCAGAATTCTACTTTGGGAGAATTTTATTCATTTTTCCTTGTAAAATGAACAAAATATCTCTTACTCTGAATATGTGCTGCAATGAACTTGGAAATTTGCATTAATCTTATTGTTAAAATTAGTAAAGCTGAATCGGTGATTATCTAGATGTCTTTGTCAAGTATATTGTTTCGTTTCTCCAGATTTAGAGAAATTTCAAGAAGTTCAAGATTCCATAATTCCTTCTGAAGAACCTTTCAAAAGACCAGGTGAGTTTAGAACTCTTGAACTTAAACCTTCCAATATTTTTTGGAAAAAGATTCCGTGTTTCTTTCCATACAGAGAAGCTCCTTGTAGGAATTATTCAACAATTTGTGAAGCTGTTCTGAGGGTCTGAACACAATTCCTGGTTTCAAGATATTAGACTTGGCTTCCTGTAGATATCTAGCTGTAGTAGCTGCTTAGCAGCTCATTGTACTTCACTGGTTTTATCATCTGTACAGAGAGCTCCACAATTATTCAGTTCATGGATGTGAAAGTGTCTGTTGTGCCTGCACTTCTCAGCTGCAGTAGCATGGGGTAAATCCAGCCCTATTGGCTTTATGGGAATGCCTGTGCTTTCACCATATTGCAATCAGGCACTTAAGCCACCATGAAATGATATTGTAATTTGTGGACTGGTTCCTTCAGTTTGTGTATGTTCTTTATTTCTCTAGAGCAAGTGGAAACTTTCTGTTCATCCCTTAAGGATTATTTCCGAGACACGTGCAAATCTGTGACCATGGAGCGGGAAGTAAATCTGGATCACCTGTTCATTGATGGGACACTTGTTCAAAGTCAAACTGAAAGCAAGACTGGAAAGAACAGTGCAAAAGCAATGGAAAAGGAGCTGGTAACCTGCAGCCTGCAAGAGAAGGAAAAGACAGCCATTGACAGAAGCCAAATATTTCAAATCCCACAGCGTAAAGACTTAGAGACTAAAGTGATTGTGGTGCTGGGAAAAGCAGGAATGGGCAAAAGCATTCTCGTTCAGAAGATCTGCCAGGACTGGTCCAACGGAGAGTTTTCTCAGTTTGAATTTGTATTTTGGTTTGACTGCAAAATAAGCTTGCCTGAGAAGCAATACAGCCTGAAGGAACTGCTGCTTGAATTTTTTGTAAAGCCTCAAGAGGGAAGCAAAGAGATCTTTGAGTATATGTTGCAAAATCCTGATAAAGTCCTTCTGATTTTTGACGGTTTTAAAGGGTTGCACGATCATGAGAATTTTCCTCGTTGCTCAGCCAGCCAGCCTGAAAAGGATTTGTGCAGCATAAAGGAGCTGCTTTCAGGACTCATCCAGAAAAAGATACTCAATGGCTGTACTTTATTATTTACAGCAAGGCCAAAAGACAAACTGTACCAGTTCATGTCCAAAGTAGATAAGACTATTGAAATTGTAGGATTTTCCCCTCAGCAGAGAGAATTGTACATAACCAAATACTTTGAAGAATCACTCTACTGTGATAGTGCACTGAAATTAATCAAAGAGTGTGAGTACTTGTTCAGTCATTGTTACAGCCCTGTTATGTGTAGATTTGTTTGTTTTCTCTGTGAGACAGTGCTTGAAATGGGAGAGAAAAGTCTTCCTTCAACTCTTACTGAAGTCTTCCTGAAATTTTTTCAGCAGAAGATAATGTTTATGCAAACAGATGTTACAAATGTTACAACCACAAAAAATCAAGAGAATCTTGTTACCCTAGCTCGTGTAGCCTGGTGTCTTGGAGAAAAGCACCAAAGTGCCATGAAAAGTGATCTTATTCCTTCTAAGGAAGTTAAAGAGTTTGCTCTGAAGTATGGGTTCTTCCTGCCATTTGCATTCCCCAGACATTCAGATAGTGAAGAAGAGGAATTTGGGTGCACATTCTCTGATTTTGTCATTCAGAATTTCTTGTGTGCGCTTCACCTTTTATTAGCAGAAGAGCTCAAGGATAAAAATCTAACAAAGTACCTGTCTTTTCTATCCAAGAAGAAAAAACCTTATAACTGGTTAGATTTAATGCCTCGGTTTGTGGCTGGTTTGATGTTTCTCCAGGATGATCCCTGCTTCTGCTCTCTTTCAAATGAGGATGAAAAACAGTCAACCAAGAAGCAGAAGACCCTCTTGAAATACATTAGAAGGCTGCAGATTGATACTCTCTGTCCAGAGAGGTTGCTGGAGCTTTTATGTTGTGTTTATGAAACCCAGAACAATTATCTCCTGCAGCATGTGGCCTTAAGGCTGGAGCCAAAGTTGTCTTTTCTGGGCATAGCTCTTACACCACCTGATGTCCATGTACTGCACTCTGTTTTGAAAAGGTCAAGAAAAGAGTTTTCCTTGGATTTGCAGAACAGCAGCATTGACATGCCAGGGCTGCAGGCCTTGGTCAGCCTGAGGAATGTGACATCGTTCAGGTTGGTCACGCTCTGTACCCCATAGCACTGTGTGTAAATGACACTTTCATGCAACAACAGCAGTCACATCTGTTGGTTTTGCATGTTTTGTCACTTCACAGGGCTTCCCTCAGTGACACAGTCAGGCTCTGGAAATCTTTAGAGCAGACAAAAGACTACGAACTGCTGAAAGCATCCACAGAGAAATTTGTTCTTGATCCCTTTAAGGCAAAGACAATGAAGGACATCAGTGACCTCTCCGACCTTGTAGAGATGCAGGAGAAGATGATGAATTGGTAGGATCATTTATGGTCAAAACTCCTCTTATACCAACTGATACCAACAGCAGTTTATGAAAACAGGGTTTCACCACCAGTGCTGGACAATGGAGTTGTCTGCTTGTCCAGAGGAGAAGTAACTGAGGCAGTGCAAGCTCCTGGGTCACTGTGGGGGGTTCTCCCACCCCCATGTGAGGTGGCTGCCATGGCAGGGATGAGCAGTGACAGCACTGTGCAGAGCAGTCACCAAAACTGCCACTGAAAAAGCCAGCTGTCATTCCTCTTTAATCTCTTCCAATTCCTTTCAGTTACAGAACTTGGGCTGATTCTTTCTCCCTGTAGTACCTGGGCATAAATTAAAGCATGTTTTGCACTGGTCTCAAATGGCCTGAGTCAGTCCTTTAGCCCAGGAGATAAAATCTTGTGTCACATGGTCTAGAAACCCTGGGCTCCATTCCTGCTGCTGATGTGGCTGGGGGATTGGTTGCAATTAAAATCATGCAAAAGTAAAATTTTGTTGTTTGTTTTGGGTTTTTTTAATGATGACTTCTATTTTAACATGGGTGGAGTATTTTGACTAAAAGATAGACAAAATAGTTTCATGTTTGACAGAAAATAGTTGATTAGAAAAATGTATTTTCAAGTTTTATTGGAAAAAGAGCAAACAATTGCACTATGAAAGGCAATTATTGGATTGAAATTACTCAGTTGAAGAGAGATTAGATCAGAAGTTATTCTAAAGTTTCCTGATTCCTCAGTTAATGCAAGAGTAGTTAATTTTCTGTAGAAGTTTGTTAACAGATTATTTTTAAAGCACTCTTTGGCTGCTAGAATTTTTATCATACTCTGATTCTGCTGTGATTTATTTAGTGTGCAGGAAGCATCTGGTTGCACCAGCTATGAAATTCCTGCCATCAGAAACCTCAGAAAACTGGAATTTGCGTAAGTGCTGAACTTGTACTGATTGAGGTGGTCCTGGTTAAGGGGAGCGGTCATGGGTGTTGGCTACAGCCATGGCTCTGATGTACAGTCAGCTGAAAGCACTGAGTAAACCCCAATTATTGCTATCTTGCTTTTCTCTGAACTAGATTTAACTAATGGCCAAAACTCAAAGAACTTTATTCCTGGCTCCTGCAGCAATACAGATCAACAGGGCTCTACCAATTTTTTTTGTTTTAGTATAAAACACAAGGTACTGATCTTGTGCCACAGGGCATAAAATATTTTGACTGTGATCCAACTACCTGGGAAATATTCTTTCCCCCAGAAATGCTGAACTTTTCTATCTGAGTCTTCTGACATAATTTTCTACCCTATCAGAGCTAAGGCCATGAGAGGATTACATCAGAAAATGCCTCCCAAAGAAATTATTTAGCACCCATTGCCTGGAAGATGGAAGGTTGACTTGGTAACACTACTTTAAAAGTGAGGTTTTAGTAACACTTTTATTCCCCCAAACTGTAAGCAGCCTCCAAGGCTATTCTATTGCTCAAAATCTCCTTCCATAGCATGTGAATTTGTTTGGGCAGAAACTGCAGCAGTGCAATGGAGAATTCTCATCAGGTGTTCTCATCTGTTTCCTGCTCTGTAAATCTAACCCAACCTGGGACAGCTATGCTTGGCCTCACTTCTGATTTTATGCTGCTTTCTCTTCTAATTTCCTCTTCCAGTTTCCCTTTATTTAAATTTTCTTTAAAATGCTAATCCTTTTAAATAACTGAACTTGTTTTGATACCAAAGAAACTCCAAATAGGATATGAGAGACAAATGCTTGGAGCATGAATACCAAAGTGCAATTTATGCTTTAAGCTGCAGTAAAACCTTGATCTTAAGTTAGACTGAATTGTTATTAGTTGGGGGAAAATAACTTTGTTTCCATTTCTCAGTTATACTAAGATGGATGTGTATTTCATCTCAAGATTATACTTACAGTGAAAAACCTGAAAAAGATAAAGAACAGAAATATAAGAACGTAAAACAAGTGACATAAGTCCTGCAGAGAGGAACAAAAAGTGGCAAATGTATCAATGCTGCTGTGCAAGCTCTGCACTGCCTGGCCTTAGCCTTGTTGGTGCTCATCTGGAGGTTTCACAGCAGAATTCCTTTGTGCAGGTGGTAGGCAATGGCCGCTTCTGAGGGTGTAAACTAGCTTGCATTGGGGGCTGCAGGAAAAGAACTCAAAAATTCCTGAGTTTTGCTGCTTGTGAGCCTGTGAAAAACCTGCTGCATGTCTGTATTTTCTTCCAGGCTGGGTCCAGCATGTGGCCTTCAAGGATTGCTAAAACTCGTGAAAATTCTTGCAGCATTTCCATCACTTCAGCATTTAGAGTGAGTTCTGCTAAAGATGAACTTTGCTAACATTTCTCTTCAGCAGCCCTTGATGATGGAGAAACTCTTGTACCCAAGAAACATTTTATTTGCCAACTTGACTCCTTGTTTGATGACCAAACTGACCAGCAGAAACATTCCCAAACTCTAACAGCACCCTCTGACACAGCTGACATTCCCCATCCTGCCTGGAGACAGCAGGTGGTGTTTTGTTCAGAACCTGAGTCCCTTCCTGGGGTGTTCCTGGGTGAAGGGTGAAGGTTCAGTGCAGAGCCCCTGGGCCCTCCCTCCCTGCCCCACCACTGACAACTTCTGACTGCACTGGAGCTCCAGGACATCCATGACAAACCAACTCTCTCTGAGTTCTGAGCTTCTTTGCACTAGAATAAAGTGTAGCTGCAGTGGCAGGGGTGTGCATGGCACCTGTGGGAAGGTTCTTGGGTTTTGGGAGGGCCTTTGGATATATCAAATATATTCCAGCATTATCTGTCAGATTAGAAGGGGATCCAGTATCTGAAATTCCAGTATCTGACTAGATGTGAGGAAAACTTCATTTTTAATACTTCCTCTCTGGAGAAGGAGAGGTTTAGGCAAGGATTTACAGCCTCTGCTGGATTTTGTCAGTTCTGTATTTTTGTGTGCACAGGAAATCTCCTTTCAGCTTAGCTGGAACACAGCTATTTCATAACTATTTTAATAATGTTGCATATCAAAGGAAATGGGTCAAGATATTCAACTAGTAAAAAAAAAAATTCTTATGCTTTAAATTTGGGCAGCAGAAAGCTGTTTATTAGAGAAGCTGTAATTTGTGTGATGCTTCATGCTGATTGAGGCTACTCCAGAAAAGCTTTTCAAGATAGATAGAATGGTCTCTGAGGTGAATAGACCACAAAAATTTAGATTAAAAGGGAAGCTAATTCTCTTTTTGTCATCACACAGCCTTGATGCTCTGAGTGAAAATGGCATAGGAGATGAAGGAGCAAAGAGTCTATCTGAAGTCTTTCCAACCCTGACATCACTGGAAACATTAAAGTAAGTGCATTAAAGTAACATTAAAGTAAGGTTAACAGTTCAGGGAAATTTTGAGAAGAAACAGATTAAACCTAGAGACTTAAGGGACTGTCTGTTAACAATTATGGGTAAAAGTATCCCAAGGGCATGGAAGACCAATGAGCTTGTGGAGATACTTAATCAGTACATTCATTAGACAAATAGATTAATCCTTCCTGACTTCTCTTCAAGGGCTCTATCTTGCCTTTTTCTTTGCATTTGGTCTAAACAGACTGTCCAAATTATATTTTTTAAAAATTGAAAATTAATTTCCCCCCACAATGTAATAAATCAGAATAAATGTGCTCAACTAACGAAGTGATCTCACTTACTGTAGTTTATCACAGAATAAAATAACAGACCTGGGTGCAGAGAACCTTGCTGCAGCTCTCCCTTCCTTGTCTTCCTTAAAAACACTAAGGTGAGTCGTTGTATCTTGTTGTTTTGAAAGCATACCTTGCTGTCTCTGTCAGAAACTACTGAACAGGGAACAAAGAGGTAACAGAGCAGCAGCCAAGCTTTTCACTTCATTTTTGCATAAAGTCTTCAGAAAGAAGAGGAGAAGTATGACATACAGAAGGATATTTGGGAATAGAGCAAGGACTGGGCTGATGTTTAAATCCAGTCCATAATACCCAGTTATGAATCCTGCCCTGCACAGATGTGCACCACATCTGCTGCAAACCCAAAGCTGTGTTTGCTGATCTGGGGACCATGGCCCATCCCACTGCACTGGGGAATCTGGCACAGGCCTGAGGGAAGCAGGGAATGCAAGGAATCCTGGTGTGCAATTCTGGAGTCGTTTGGTGGTGTGGAAATCTTTTGAATGCTGTACCCCAAATCTTTAAGCCTGATTTTTCTTTGGCAGATTTTTAATTTGACCTGTGTGGACAGAAATGTTCTTATTATCCATAGAATAATAGAATCTAGACCTTTTTTGCTGTACCTGTGCTAGGTGAAGAAGGATGTGACCATTTGCCTTACTTGATATAGGAAATATGAATGTGTGCGTGAAACTTGAACTGCAACTAAGCATAAAATGAAAGTTAAGATGTACTTACCATGTCTGAAAACCCTTGATCTAATATCTGTGTACATTATCCGTTATTCAATTGTGACTCTTCCGGTTTGGTTTTCTGCAGCTTGTACAATAACAACATTTGCGATTTTGGAGCAGAAAATCTGGCAAAGGTTCTTCCTGCAATGACATCTTTAAGAGTGCTAGAGTGAGTATAAAATCTTTGAGATGGCCCAGGAGAGCTTACTTCATTGGAGACTGAAAATACAAATGTTTCATGTTTGGTTCTGGAGGGGACAGAAACTGAGGAAGATTTTGAGAAAATTTCACAGGGGAAGTGTGCCTCTGCAGAGTCCAGGTAGTCAGTGATTAGAAAGGATTAAGGAACAGTTCACCATAAACCCAGAAATATTGGTGTAAAGGTGGGAGAATAGGCTCATGGGGGAGCTAGAAAATGACCTCAGTAACTTGGAAAAAGGAATCCCTCAGCTGAAGTAACATAATGAAGTTCCCATTCAACCTTCTGAGTATATTGTTACAGGTTTTTTGAACTGACAATCTATTTTGGGTTTTTTCCTTTTTCTTTCTTACCCCATCTGCAGATTAACCTATATAGTATTTTTTATTTTGAATAAAATGTTTGATTACACCATTTGATTTGGATTAACAAAGTTGTTTTTATTCCTCAGTGTTCAGTATAACAAAATAACTGGTGTTGGAGCCCAGCAGCTGACTGACAGCCTACGAAAATGTCCCCAAATGAAGAACCTGGTGTAAGTCTCTTGACAGGCTGTTTGCTGTACCTTCATCCTGTAAAACTGGGTTAGCAATCATGTTAAAGCTGCCTTCTGGATTTGTCAGATTTAAAAGAGGCACAAACAAAGACATCAGCAAAATACAAAAGCAGAGGTTTTTAAAAATGTTGTCTCAGGCTTCAGCTGCATTAATTCCCAGTAGTCCTAGGCAGTCGAGCTTGTCTTGACTGAAACAGTTTCCACTGAGCCTCCCTTTGTTAATCTTCTACCCTCCCAGAGAACCAGACCTACTCTGTGCTGCACCACTTCTGTTTGAGGGATAAACAATGAGCAGCCATCATCAGAGGCTAAATAGACTGAAGCTACTGGTACACATTGAGAGGAAGGGAGTTTGATGGAAGGTCAAAAAAATAGTTACAGAGACAGGAGTGCAGTTGTGTGACCAGAGTCAGCAAGATTATGGAGTACTGAACTGGTTTTTTCTAAATCAAAATGCATTTTCCTTTGCTCCATAGCTTACATATTTTTATAGCATGATAGTCGAAGGACACCTTTAAAGTAAAGAAAGAAAGAAAGAAAACAACAGCAACAACAACCAGAAAAAGGCACAAACACATCAAACACACCAAAAGAAGGTATAAAAACCTGCACTTCTTAAAATCTCTTTTCTTTCTGAATTTGCCCTTACAGGATGTGGAATCCCACCATTCCCTATGGAGTTCTTGAACACCTTCACCAGCTGGACTCCAGGATCAGTGTGTAGATTCAGAGGATTCCATAAAGGTAACAAACCATGGCTCCCTGAGAAAACCAGGTTTGTTTCTGTGGGAGCTGTTGATTCCAGGCTCACTACAGCAGGCACAGTAACAGCATCCATGTGCCCATGGGCAAGTGTGGAGATGGTGCCCTAGAGTGGCACAGAGCAGTGTCACATCAGGCCCCCTTTCCCTGCCCTCACCTTGCACCTCCCTCCTCCCTGGACCTGCACTAGCACACTGCAAGTGCTTTATTAAGAAAAATGGACCCCTAGAACTCCCAGTCCAGCCCAGTTCAGTGACTGGCAGCTGCCCTGCTTAGCTTCTCATTTTTGTAGGGGAAAACTAAAGCTCTGTGTACTTCTCATGTTTAATAGATGAGTTCTGTACTCCTCAGAACTTGTTTTGGTTTGGTTTTTAGTAAGTCCTTTCACTTTTCCTTTGTTGAATACAAATCCTCACCAGCTGCCTGTGTGCCTGTGCAGCTGTACCTGTACAGTACTCAGAGCAAAACACTCCCTCCTACATTCCTTGTTCTGTGTCATTGTGTGGTTTAGCCACTGGCAGCCACTTTTACTTCATTGCCTGCACAGTTTCAAGGATCCTTGAAGTAATTGCAGCAGTGAAGAATTGTGGTGCTCCTTACTAGCCTACAGTGAGCTGAATCTTTGTCCTGTTGAAAAACCCTACCTTCCTGAGAAAGGACACCAGGGATATGATCCCTGTGAGGAAACCTGCATTAGCTCTGAGGATAAATAGCAGCAGGAACTCTGGATTCTGTCTCCCAACCTTGAACCATTCAGCATCCACCAGCCACTGTTGTCTCTTTACACAAATCATTAAATCTATGATTTTTGTAATCTTAATGGTGGTTAATCTGACAGGTGTACATCTAATGTTCTGTATTCATCATTTCACAGGTTTCATGAAGAAGAGGGGAGGGTGTCCTCTGTCCTTTCCTGTCTTCTTGCTGCTTTATGAATTGGTGTCCTCATGTTTGTTGCAAAAAATAACATTTCAGTTTCTAAGCGATGCTTAAATTGGATGACTTAGAGAGTTCTAAAATGCTATTCAAAGACCCAGCTGTATTTCTACTTAAGTAGTAAAAATTAAGCAACATCAAAGATGAAAAGAGCACCTGGATACTGTGACCACCATTAAGAGACCAGGAAGCACAAGGATATTGTGAGTATAAAATTCCATCAAGTTATCGAAGAGCAAACTGAAAGCTGCTCAACCTGCAACATCTGAAGCACTGACAGATCAAATCTGATTGCTGATTTCATGGTGCCAGTGGTAACTGCCATCAAATTTGGTCTGATGATTTTGGACTTCCAAAGCTCAGGGTTACACATTTCACCTCTCTGTATGGACTGATTGGAAGCACTAGGGTGAGAAGCATAAAAAAGAGCCATCAGCCCTAGAAAGTGTTCTCATAAGATTATCCACAAGATTCTAGAAATTGCTATTTTCTTCACTAGTAATCAGTGCTGCTTTAAGGGATAGAAATGTATCTTCTATGACTTGTTACAGAATCCTTCAAAAAGATTGGGGAAAAAAAAAGTAATGAGAAGAAAGAAATTGAAAGTGTAAAATGATGAAGCATTATTCTAAAATTATTGCAGAAATCCAAATAGATAAAAATAGCCAGTTTATGGCAGACAAATCCTCAAACAATTTTTGAAGGTTTTTACTTTGTCTCAAATGAGAACTCTGAATTCACATACCTGGATTGGTATTTAATTTCTTAAATGCAGCTGGGCAGCATAAATGTTTACAAGCACCAGTTTTATACTTGACAGTGATATCACTACTGTGTGTGGTTTCTGTGGCCTTCTGGCTCGGAGTTATGAGTAACCAGGCAATCAACAAAAGCACATCTCAAAGCACTATCATGTCTATGCTGCTGGTCTCAGTCATATGTGGGCCAAATATTCATCCTGCTGACTGCAACAGCAAACCATTTGTCTCTTTTATTCTTTTATTTCTGCTCTGTGAACATGAAGAGAAGTTAAAATTGGACAGAGGCAATTGTCAGGAGCAGGTCAGGAGCACCATTCTGGCTTCCCATCCAGATAAAGTCTGAGACAGAACAACAAAAAGGGATGGAAAAACCTAGGAATGCTCAAAATGCTACAAATTGAGAAGTCTTTACTTCACAGTTAGCTCAGGGTTAGTTCAACAACCTCTTTGAAATCTCTTCTGCTAGGAAGCACTGCCAATACTGACCCAAGGATCTGTGCAAACTAGAATCTCTCAACTAACCTCTCAAATGCTCTGTTTCTTGGTCCTTAAAAATTCAGATTTAAACAGCTCAAAATCACAACATTCATTTTCTTTCCAGCAAGTTCTACTCCTCTGCTTAAGTTTCAGTGCCTGCAGAATCTTGACAGCAGGGATGTGGACAAATTAAAGAGAGTGAACAAATTAAAGAAAGAAGGGAGAAAGGAAGGTCTGTTTGTTGTTTCTGAGAGCAGGGAATCAGACATAAGGTGTAGAGGAAGAGAGAGCCAGGAGGAAAAACCCTGTGGAGAATATGATTGTAATTACAATTTGTATTTTTCTCAACTATCTGCATGGTTCTTCTTTATAGTCAAACTCTAGCCAGAGCCATGGATAAAAATCTTATTTATCTTCTCCTCTTGGAGCTGCTTGAATGGGAGGTAGTTTGAGCCAAATGTGGTGGGATATTCCCATCAGCCTGTGGCACTCCAGCCATGCAGATCCTTGTCTTGACCTCTCCTAGCTAAGCTTTGGATGACAAATGCCCTTTAGGGATATTTTCTGCAGCTGCACTTTACCATGACTGAGTCTCAGAATGTGCTAAATATTCCACAGGCAGCTGAATGTTGCAGGATGATGTCTGGACTACTAAAATCATGTTGGCTGTACTGCTGTTCTCTCAGTTAGTGGGAATGTATGTTTATAATGTACAGGTTGTAAATTTTGATACAGTGTTTTGGTTGTCTTTACACATCTTTTTTAAAGTATTAATAAAAGTAAGTATTCTGTTTAACAGTACCTTCTAGTACCCGTTGAAATTTTGATTTTTCTCTTGGAAACACTGAAACCACACAGCAACTGCTGGCTTCTGCCACAGTAACAGGTTTGGGGCTTTGTATTGCAGGCTAATGGAAAGCACTGTGTGTGAGGGCAGGACAGTTCAGTGGGCTGGAAATGGAGAAATAATTCTTTCTTAACAGGAACAGGTTCTTGCAATGCCAACTGCCAGACTGTAAGTTCAGGATCAGGAGATACAAATGTGCTGACTGAGGCCACCTGCTAATAAAAGCAAAAAGGGGTTTTCATCCTTTCTCAATCTTTGCAATTAAAAGTTCTAAACTTAATCTGGGTTGAAAGTCTGGATATTCTTATGGCACCGAGCTCCTCCAAAATGCCTTTGTCAAACGAGTGCCTTCTGTACAGAAACTGAATTCACTGGCTACCTTCTAAGAAGCTGTTGTGATCAAATCTCTACTCTAAAAAAATCTTTTAGGATGAGGAAAATGCTGCTCTCTTTATGTCTTTTTGTTGTCAGAGAAGCCTTGCTAAAATGCCAAGGATTGTGTCACCATGGCAGTCAGAGCCAATAACACTCTCCCCATCCTTTATATGCATGAAGCTGAGCTGTTCTGAGAAATCAAGAATCTTGGTCAAAGATTCAGAATCTCCAAAGTGACTGACTCAGGGAAATTTCTATTATTTTATTGTGCACTGTGTGCACAAACCCACTGCAGGGAATTTATTACTCCTAAGTACTGCAGTAAGTATCAAAAGTGACAAACTGAACCATGTTCTTAAAAAGGCATTTGTGGGACCCTGAAAAACTAGTGAAACCACCTCTGTGAACACTATGAATGAATAATTATAGAGGCAGCAGGAATGCCCACTGCAGTAGCAAAATTCAGCCTTTACTGTGTTACTATCAAATGGGCTTGACAAGTTTGTAAACTTGGTTATTCTTTCTATAGGTACCTAAATGGGGACTTGGCTTCCCTAAATGTACCTTTATGTGTTAGAATATTGTGCCCTAAGTGACTTTATTCCTGAATTGCTGTCCAGGGACTGTGTGGAACAAAACACTTGTCAGTGTTTAAAAGTCCTGAACTGCACCTGATGAATCCTATCTTGGAGAAATGCTATTTGGTTTGGTGTCAGTGCTTCTCCTCCTGCAGGAGCAGCTGAAAATTGCATTTGGAGCACAGAATTTTGGGAACTGGGAGCTAATTTCTACTGCCTAGGAACTAAAATGTGCTATTTGAATGCAACACACTGGGAGTATCAGGATACACAAGTTTGTCATTGTTTCATGGGGGATCTAAGCCATCAGCCTCTTGTTCCTCATACTGGCTGAGAAGAGACTCCTGACACCATCTGTGTGCAGCAGGGAGCCCACGCTGGGAGCAGATGGCAGACACAGACTGCAGAGGACACGCATCATGCAGAGAGTGTCAGCAGAATTGTTTTCAGTTCTGCTTTATCCAAAACGTTCTTGATACATCAACTCAGTTTAAAAATTGCAGAGTTACAAAAATCAGTCTTTTCTAAAAAGTATAATGACAATAAAACAAAACCAGTCTAATGCCTGCCCTAATAACGTGTGGGTTACCCCCCTTCCCCACACACAGTGCCTGATGTTTCAGTTCAGGTCTGATTTTTTAAGTAGCTGTTCATGAGAAGGGTTTCCTACCTCCTGGCCATCTCAGCAATCTGGAACTACTTGCATGTACCTGCAGAAAACTGGAATTTCCTTGAAAGCATATTTCAATTATTTTCTTTTCAAACTGAAGAAGAACAACTCCAACACAACTGCTTAATTTTTCATGGAAAAGGTCAGTCTTTATTGTATTGCTTTCACATCTGTACATAGGAACGTGAGCTTAAACAATCTGCAAAGTATCCTGTGTTAAATAATGAATCCACCTGACTTATATAAAATTCACTCTCTGATCTATTTCAAAACTCTCTTTTTAAATAAAATATCTTACTAGCACAGTTTTTGCCATTATACTCCCTGAACAGAACCTCCTTCAGTCACTCCTGCATATTTTCCCCTGAGAAAGCATTGCTTTTGAACTACTGGCTGGTAGAATTTTCAACATGTGATTGTAAAACTGGCTTAAGCTATATGTAGAGTGTGTCCATTTGGGTGACATGGTATTCATTCAAAAGTTTATCAAATCTGGGTAACATCTTGATTTTCTGTTACAATGGAACATAGTTTATCTTATTTTTTCATACTGTCCATCCCAGAATTACCCATGGAAGCCCAGTATGGTGCATGAATCACTGCACTAAGTGCACACACAAGAGGCAAAGACCGTGAAGAGAAGTCACAACTGACAAGGTCTGATGACAACTCCTCTTCTGGTTCTCTGGTCCTTATTTTCATCTCTACATTTCAGAGTACAGTTTCTTTCCAGGACTTGATCCATTGACTTGGTCATAATCCATTTCAGATGTTTAATGAATCTGTTTAAAAGAAAACACATAAATACAGAGTAACCCTCCATACCTAAAATTAACAGAAAAGTCACTGAGTATGTGACATACAACACCATGTTGTTGACTTATTAGAAAAAAAAATTAAAAATCAAAACCTTTTGTGACTCTAGGTAATAATTCTTTGAGAAGTAAAGACCTGCACAACCTTTCAGAAAAATCAATGTCACAGTTTCTGTTCATGTCAGAGCCCACCAGTCCTTAGGAATTTTAACAAAGCCATGAAGATACCAGTGTGAGGGGTGTGAGAGTAAGAACCACAGTGCATCACATCAATTACTAGGGGATGTTCTTAAGAGTAAAAACAGCTGTGACACACAGTGGGATAACCTATTTTATCCAGATTTGATATCATTAGACCTACTAATTAAAACTGATGTTTGAATGGCTACTATCTTGACTAGATACTGTTCATTAGAGTGTTTTTATTGTTTGGATCATCATGTTAATTAAGTATTGCCTACATCTGATGTAGTCTCTGATTTTGGTCACTTTCTCTTCTGCTTCAGAGTTGCATTGTTCCAACTATTTTGGATCCACTGGTAAGTAGTTACAGAGCTAAAGAACATTTTGGGGTAACTTCTTGGTCTTACTGCCAAGAATAAATTACTGTTATATTGCTTTACCCCAGTTTATTTAATTTGCCTTGACTGACTCAAATCCCACTGCTATTAGGAGGTGATTGTTTACAATCATCAGGGGTAAATACAAAGCTGAGAAGATTCCTTTAAGTAGAACCAGAGCTGTGGATTACAAAGGTGCTGGGCACTAGTGACAGCATTGATCTGCTCCTGTGATTTACAGAAAGCTCATTAGTGTAGTGTGGAATGGTGCAGCTCTGAGAGGGGGCTGGCACGAGTGTGTGCTGAGGAGGAGCTGAGGCACAGAGCATGAGCAGGTCCCCGGCTGCCTGCAGCTCAGGACATTCCTTGTTGTGTGCAGCAACCTCTGAATGGACAGCTCCTCCCTCCTTCCCCTGGCTGGGCCTGAATGAAGAATGGAATCAGATGTCACAGTTCTGCATGAGCCTGGACAGACACAGCAACAGTGTCAGTAACACAGGTGTTACAGGAGGCCAAAAGCAAACAGGTTGATACAGGACTGGGGGAAAGGTTCTTTTATGGATTGAAAGCAGATTAAAAGATTGGAAGCAAAGAATACAACTTGGTAGGAAAGAACTCAGTAGCAGAGTATACCAGGGGCCAATTTTTATTCATCACCATTACTGACTCAAAGAAGAGGATGAATAGAGAAATCTTCCAGACTGCAGAAAATAAGCTTTTTCAAGTATTCAGATCATGTACTGATAAAAAGGAAATCCAGAGGGATTTCATAACACAGAGTGGGCAAAGGGTGATGGGTTTGGAAAACATTTGCTGAAGGGCTGGGCAGCAATGTGCCATCCAACATCCTGCATTCTGCCTTGGAAAGAACAGAGAGCAGCCTGCAGATTTTGGTCAGGGACAGGAGCTCTCCCAGAGGTGGAACACAGGGCTGTGAGATCGTGGTCTGACTCATCACAACACTTCCATGTTCCTGTGTGCCACTTACTGCAGATACTGGGTCAAAACAAGAGGCACTTTTGTGTCCAGTGAGGCATTTCTGTCAAATGTCTGTCAGCAGAACACACTGCTCAAAATCCTTTCTCTCAAAATGAGGACATGAAAAGGGGGAACAGCAGCTCTACCAGGTTACTCATTTCATGTTTATCTGATTGCTTTCCAAGTGGAACTAAAAACTGATCTAAGCAGACAGTTCAGTGTGGTTGTTAGTATTCTGCACTGTAGATCGGATTCTAGGCTGACTTAAAAATAGCACAGCAAAATGTATTGGGCTCCAAAGCAAAGGGTAAAGCTGTCTAATGGTAGTTCCAAACACTGCTGTTGGGCTGCTACTCCAAGACTGTAATTTGTTGTGGCAGATATTAAATGGGGTGTAAATTATGCAATTGGCCAGGATATTCAATCCTGCCTTTCTTATTTTCAGATTAGAAATCTGTCCCTCAAATTTCATGAGAACCTATTTTTTAACAGAAAACTTCAAAAATTTCAGAAAACTGGAAAATGAAGAGATGGAAAATATTTTAAAATATTTTTTACATCTCAGAACTAGAACTTTCGATAGCCTAGACCATACCTGCAAGCCCTGAACAGTATGGCTGTAGGATGACTCCAGCATTAACAGCTCAGTCACGGTATCTTTGTTAATTCTGCCTTTGAAGTTACTGTTCCTCACAATGCAGGCTGGAGCTAAGGGCACGTGGTGTGACTGTTTCACACCCTGACACTGTCTGCTTTCTGTTTCCTCACTTTCTGCAGCAGTGTTTCAGCTCTAGTGGCCTATTTAGGCTCCACTGCCTGGGCAACCCTTGGGTCTTTCTTTCTGGCCCTACAAAAGAGTATTTAGCCTTCAGCTGTGAACTGACCTGGAGGTTCCCCAGCAATCCCTCACTCAGTGCACATCATCATTTTCCATTATACCATTATTTCCCATACA